GGAAGACAAACATGTCTCTGGCTAGAAGAAGCCTGTAACATAAATATGTGCTTAGGCCCCCCAGAACGTCTAAGTAAAAATACCAACCAACTATTAACTGAGGTGATATAACAAATAACAGTATATTTTCACATGGAAAGAAAGCAGACGTTATAGTAACCTTTTTTTTTTCGCGGCTATAAAGTAAAAGTTCAATTTTTTTTTTACTTCATTGATTTTTTTTTTCCACACTGCATTCCTAATACGGAGCACCTTTCCCTTTGTTTAAAGGCATTAATAACAGCAGGGTAACTCCTTAGCGTTGTTCTAGAACCAGTACCTAGCATGTATGAGCAACATACACACATTATAGCTCCGTCCGGAAATCTGTGACAGCAAAAGTGTATCCAGCCCAAGATTAAGAAAAAAATTTTGCTTCCTAGCTTTCTTGCTATCCCACTAGACATAAACAAACAAACAAATAAATGGACGCAAAGGTCATTATCACCAGTCCCACGTGTTTAAGCTGAAGGCTTAACATCATGTCATTGTTCTGAAGGGCAGTGACAAAATGTGAAGAAGCAGAGAAAGTGGAGTCCCGGGGTCAGGGACCAGAGGAGCCTTCGGCTCGGCAGCTAACAAAGGTTGCCTGCACGCTTGCACACACACAGTAAATCGGGAACTAAAAAAAACCTTCCATTTCAATGACGATGACGAGATCTCTGCATCTGAAGGAGGGCGGAGAGGGGTGTACGGGAGAGCTTGGAGGGAGGAAAGGGAATGGAAAGATGTGATTATTATAATTTCAAAATAAAAATAGAGTGAGGTCGTGCACAAACTTTTTCACTGGGCGTGCTAATTAGAGGTATACCTTGACAAGGATACCGACGCGCTTGCTATAGACATGCGGTATTACTGAGATCAGGGGAGAGTTCTCCGGGGAGAGGGGGGCTGCTTAGCTTGTGCAGGCGGGCACAGAATGACACCTTAGCTAAAAGGTTATGTAAACCATTTGCTGGAAAAACAAAGACCAGGTTTTTACATTCCCGAACCCTACTATCTGTTTCAAGCTACTTGAGAGCTGAAATTCTTTGCACACACGCCATCGGATTGGGTGACATTTCCAGCTCCAAATTAATAAATCCTTTCTATAGTTTTGGAATGCAAAAAACTTTTTTTCTTCAGCCACAACTGAACCTACTTAGCCAAATAAATAAATAAATAAAAATAAAACCAAAAAACCAACATTAATGAATCCTGACCTTAACCCTATGTTATTTCTTAATGTTTTTTTTTTCTTCTTAAATAATATAGACTTTTGAAGTAGCACTATCATTTCAGTATAAGCTGATCAGGATGATATCCTGTAACTTTAAAATAAACTCCTAATGAGAACTCCACTAATATAGAGAAGGAACAAGAAAAACAATTAGCCAACGTTGAAAATAGATGAAATGTACTTTTTATTGAGGATTCATTTTTTTTTTTACATGCAAAGCTTCTTCTAAAAGTGAATCTGTATTGAGTTGACCCTGTCATGAAGGAAAATGTGTCCCAATCCACACAATGGGAAAAACCAAAGCTGTTTACACAAAACTTCATTCCCATTGCTCAATCCAGATAATTTTCGCTAGTATTTGGGTTCAGAACTTCTGCTCTTCACCAAATAGTAAGGTCTAGCTAGCTTGTGACTTTTGCTGGTAGTGCTTCTCAAATTTAGAGGGGGAAAAAAAAAGTTACATGAGAATAAAATCCCCACAGAGCGAAGCCAAATTTTTTTAAGGAGTAAATTGACAAACACAAAAACCCCACAACAGTAACAATAAAATAACAAAACAAACCAACGAAAAAGGTCATACACTCGATTTGGCATGCAGAAAGAAAACCAAAATAAAACAAGGCCATTGATGTCCATCAAGAGATTGCCATTTCCATTTTAATTACCAGAATGACTGACATCATGAAAACTGAAAGTCAGAGAGAAGATGGCAGAGTCAAAAGGAAACCAGCAATCAATATTGTGTAAGAAATACTTATTTGAGAATAACCGACCAAATCCATTAGAATATGACCAACACTTCTGTAGACGGGACATACACTGCATTCTTTTTACTTTGTGGCGACTTTAAAAAAAAATTAATTAGAATTCATTTATTTTTTTTGTGCACTGCTGTTTAGCCGGCATGAATATCTGTGTGCAGGTGTCAGATCTTGGAGTTACAGACAGTTGTGAGCTGCCATACGGGTGCTGGAAATGGAACCCGGGTCCTCTGGGAGAGGTGCTCTTGACCGCTGAGCCATCTTCCCAGCCCCTACTCTGTGACACTTCTTACTGATCTTTTCCTAATGTATAGTTACATTAAAATACAGTAAGATACTTCCCAGAATGCACCAGTTACTTCCCTTTCCGGCTAAGAAATGTTGTAGCAGAGGAAACAGTACCTATCAACTAGACCAGACAGACAAGGGATGGAGAGTGACGAAGCCTATCTGGAACCAGCCATTCAGAATGGACAGACTAATGCCAGCTAAAGCTGTACCTCCCGCTCCTGGTACACACTACACGGACTATACTCGGCTAGAATTAGCAGATGCCCACTTCAATGTCTGCTTGAAATGCACATGAAAATCTAATACCAAACAGACTTATATATCACTACTTGATTTGGGATCAGGGTGAAGATGCAACCTGAACATGTTTGGAATTATAGCTAAGCAAAAAAATAAACTTAAAACAGGCCTAGGCAGAGGATCATGAAATTAAGGTTGGTCTGGATGGTTGTGTGAGTATCAGGCTGGCTTGAGCTATAAAGGGAGGACCTTAAAAATTCAAAACAAAGGACAAATATTGGCTCAGGTTTTCTTGAATAAAGGTTTGTCTTATTATTTTCATGTTTAGTGTGAATGCGTCTCTCGGTGTATTCACATGCGACACATTAACCCTCTAGAAATCAGAGGACCACTCGTGGGAGTTGGGTCTCCTTCCACCACCGTATGGGTTCTGGAGTTTGAAGCCTGGGGCTTGCCAGTGTTGGGAGGAGGAGGCAGGACATCGCTGGCCCTGGTTCAGGTCTCCAAGCACAGAATGATAGCCTTGTCCTCTCCACAGCGAAGAGCAAGTGACCAGCATGGAGGGAGGGAGCGCCTCTGGCAGGGGCTGACCAGAAAACTGCTGGATATTCCTAGGGTTCTGTTTTCAGTTTAAAGGGACGAAACAGCATCATGCCGTTTTCAGGTACGTACTGTTAGTTAAAATTCTTATGCATAGGATGTCCTGTGGAATGCACACAGAGCTCATGGTGGCACAGCACTTATCCTGGAACCTGTGAGGTTCTGGGCTCAAGTATTGGTACCACAGAGAATAACAGTAACTATAACTTATCAAAAAAGGATGCCCTTGAGTTCCAGTATAAAAGTGGTCGCCCTTGGCTGGTGCACACCAGGAGTGGTTTGGATGCAGAGGTGGGTGCCGGACACTAATTTTAACTTCAAATGTTTCTTCTTTTGCATTTTGCGTGTTCCCTCTAATGCAAAGTTGGTGCACCTAGGTTCATATAGTCCAATGAGGACACATGACTAAATCCTGGAGGAAACCTGAAACTACCCGAACAAAGGTAACAGTGCTAATTATTGCTGAACGTCTCTCTCGGGTTGCTGGAAACCACACAGCCCACCCCCTTCCCTTTCTAACACAAGTGACTTACAGCAAAGCCACCAGGAAGTCTGGAATGAAGGAGATGCGTATAGCAATTTTCAGTTCTCGTCGGCATGGGAAAAGGCCCACCATGCGTATTCGGGGCATAACGAAGTTATTGTTTTAGAAGAACTCTGTGTTCTGCGTTATGGTATTACAGGTGTGAACCACTGTGCCCGGCTCTAAATCCCAACTGATTGGTGAGCAAAAAAATGGCTATGTCTTGTTTAACATTGTATAGAAGTTCAATTGAAAAATAAATTGAATTGTAGATCATACGTCTTTTTCAAAAGCGTGTAAAAATCTGTATGTGGAATAAATACGGATTTTTAAGGAGCTGGGGGAAGGGCTCCAAAGGAATGTTCTGCCTAAGGAAGTCCACCTGCGAGTATTTTGTTAAAAAAGAAAAAAAAAATATGTGCTGAAAATGCTCGAAATTAGCCAAACGGGGAAAACTTCAAAACAGCTCAGTTTTTAAAACTTTCATAGCTGATATCATCTTTAAAAAGTGAAATTGTTTCTTTACAGAAAAATCAATATACTACTGTATTTTAGGGTGGGATATTGACAGCATTTTTACAACATCTAAAGGTAAACGAGGAATAAGGTAACGAAGATACTTCTGTCATAGACCTAAGGACGGCCAAAGAGATGAGTACCTCACGGCCAAGGGGCTCACAGAGTCTGGCATAGTACCTTATGCGTGGGCAGCTGGGGAGGCCAGGGGACCTAAGTTAAAGGGGGAAATGCAGGAGAGAGAGTTCCAGCTTCAGTGACTTCAGTGGGAAATACAGGCAGAAAGAGAAAGCAAAGCCAAGGGACTCAGAACCGGCAGGCGAGCAGCAGCAGAAATTCTGGAAACCAAGGCCTAACGTACACCTCTCCTGGAGCTGGTGTTTCTGTTCCTCCAGTGGGTACGGTCGATCCGTAACTTCTGGGGTGAGGAGTGGGGAGACCTTGTGGCGAATAGAGAGACTTGTAGAAGACCGCATCTATATGGATTGCTCCTCCTCCTTCCCCCCCATTGTCTTATCTTCCTTGTTTTTTTCCAGCAGCGGATAAATGAATGGATTTGGTAAGTGGAGCAAAAGGAGCCTGCAGGGCACCCAGTGGGGCTTTACCATGTTCAGGTTCTGAACTGAACTCTGCTGAGCAGGCTGTCTGCCTGAAAATCACCCAGCCAGCCACACAGTGGCAGAGTGCCGGGTTCAGCCCCCAGAACCCTTACAAAGAGGGAAGAAAAAGGAAAGAGTCAACTGCAGGTATCCAGGTGTTGAGGGAGGGGGAGGGATCTCAATACAAAAACACAACACAAAACAACCCTAGATACAAGGATATTGAACAGGAGCCAACTTTATTTTATAAATCTTCAAATATGGTCTCTTTAGGATTTTCAGTATTAGGAAGCAGGAGCGCTTGGGACATGGGACTGTTCTCTCAGGAGGAAAATCGCATCCCTGTGTTTCTCCAAGTCAGGAATTAGCTGAGCTATTCTGCTTATCAAATGTATAAATATTTTCAAGTGTGGAAAAATATTTCGGTTCTGATTTTGAAGCACATGCTATTCAAGGCATCGATTTTCTTCAACACTGAAACTGTCCACAACTCGAGGCCTGGAGGATAAGCCACTTTTTAAATATCCCATATTTACTGAGAAAACCTAGAGCCATAAAAAAAAATGATACGATAGTACCTACATAAGAAACTATACATTAACTGTTTTTTTCAGAAGTAATTGAAATTTTTCAAAACTCAAAACACAAAATAGTACATTTTCACTTACTATAACACAGTTCAAGTATTCTCTTAAGTTTACATTTAGCCAGCTAGAACACATTAAGTAACTCTATAAAATCGCGTTCCTTTCAAGATTACCGCTATACAAAATAGTGTGTCCATCACTACTCAGAATCATTCGAGCACATGGAAAGAAAGATGACCTCAGAGAGGTCTTTATGAGCAAGTATTAACACACAGAAGACTGCACACATTAGTAATGAAGCATTTGTAGGCAACTCCCCAAGTACTTGAATTCATGTAAACAAAGACTAGGCATATTCCTGTAGGGAGAATATGTACTAACCTAGATTAAAATATATGCAAATGGCTGCTACTTTGAACCATATATTACTGGGATATCACACAAAACCAAGAGACATTACCTTATCCTTTTTAATAACTAAAAATGTTAACGAATTTGTGAAATACAGGGTTGATACTTTTTAAGGCTAATAATGAAAAGGAGTAATTTTGCAAACCGGTATCCATCTGTTTGTCAGAAATAAATACAGTTATCTCAATGTATTGCTTCACGGTAGCGCATCTTCTCTGCCTTAGCCATGACATTCAATCAGTAGTTTAAAAACAGATCCTCCACACCGAGCCGTGAGTCTTCTACCTTGTCAGCTGCCCGACAACTTTCAAAAGAGTTTTATTCTCCTGCTTGAGCTGCTCATTTTCATCTTCTATGTCATCAAGGTCCTGGGGAGAGAGAAAACACTTTAAAAAATACTGAAAAACATTCTAAAGGAGACTTGAAATAAAAATAAAACAGAAAGATAACTCGTTTACCAATTAATTTTAAAGTAATAAGCTCTAAAAATTACACGGACTATGCTCTAACGTTACTTGACTGGGCCAATTCTCCTGGAACACTCAGTTTTTCAAAACCAGCCAGAAGTCAAGGTTTTAAAATTGTGACAACACACACACACACACACACACACACACACACACACACACACACGTGTTCCCTGTGCTAGAATTCTAGCCACAAATACATAGATAGCCATATGGCCCGTACTAAAACCATAGTAAGTTTTAGCTATGAGAAATATCAGTTGAAGGAAGAGTAGGCATGTAACGACTTATCTTTGCAGTTTAGAATATTAAAACTTGACAGAGTCCACCTGCATGACAAGAGCCACACAGCACTGTCGTGAACATACATTTTGTCGTTGGACTATCAGACAGATGATTAAAGTGTTAGCAAAGTCAGAATTTGCACCTATTCACAGACTGAACAAACGCTAAGAAACAAGTCTGTTCAATTTATTATAAAAATGAGGTTTCTAAAATTACTGCAACTGAGATCTGCCTAAATTTAAATGAAATGATAAAATACATTCGTGCATCATTAAGCAATACACTTGAAAAGGGCTCCTAAAATTAAAACTGTTAACACACATTCACGAGTCATGACTAAGTGACAAACTTAGTAGGGAAGCAGCTTTCTGCTTATTTTTAATGCTCTTGGTGTCTGAGACAGCACAAACACATCACGGGCATCACAAATATTTGCCGAGCCTCTTAAACTGAATTCCAGCACAAATAAAGGCATGCTTATAATGGATCAAGATGAAAGACTACATAAGACCCAAGTCAAATACTGGCCCAGCCAACAGCGACACGCAACCTTGAGCAAGCTAACTGGGGTGCCTCTGTCCTCACCCACAGTTTGCAGACATCTCCTCCGAGCTGCATTAGAAGATGCTGGCTCCGAAGCCCCCTCCTTTGGACTGGCATATGGGCTCAAACTCACGGCATTGCCCGACCTAGGCAAGCACTTTACCAATAATTATTTTGTGGTTAGGACTGGATTAGGGGACCAAGCCTTGTCTCCCTGAAGTGAATCTTTCTTTCTTCCATCCCTTAAAATCCTCTAAAAAAGCAGACCAATGGCATCTCTTCTCATCACAGCCCCCTGAGTAGATGCTTCCGACTTTGACCAGGAGGGAAGTCTAGGGCTTGGGACCTCAACTCAGAGCTGGCAAAATTCTTTGTATTGTTTGAAGATGCGGTGAGAAACTCGGCTTATGGGATGAAACTAGAGGCCTCACCATTAATGGCTGCTTTATTAACCAAAGAGCCAACCGTACAAGGCAATGAACAGGTTCTCCACCCTCCCGTGCTTTCACCCAGCTACTCAAGACACAAAGCGAAACAAACAGAAACACACACAGAAAACAAAATCAACCCTGGCATCGAAACGCAGAAAGACTTACTCTGTTTAACAAATCGATCTCTTCCTTGAGTTTTCCGATCATTTCCTCTTTGTCTTGCATCAGTCTCACAAGCCTGAGGTTTTCTTGCCTTTCTCTGGCTATTTCCTGGTGAACACAGATCACAAAGCATTAACCGGGAGCAGGTTGCTCATAGGATTTTAAAATGACCAACACCCATCAATCACAGCCCAGGACTGTAGACATTGGCCAACCGCCTTTCAGCCACATCAGTCACAGAAGACAGGCCTGTGACGACAATGCCACCTCACCCCTTTGTCAAGGAAAGGGTATCTGCATACTTCTTAAAAGAACAATATTGAAAACATTTGTTAATGTGGGATGTCCTTCCATATATGTGTTGCTTTTATTGGTTAATGAATAAAGCTGCTTTGGCCTATGTCACGGCAGAATACAGCCAGGCTGGAAGGGATAAAGAGAGTAGGCAGAGTCATGGATACGACACGTAGCTGCCAAAAGAGACAGCTGTAGAACCTTACCAGTAGGTCACAGCCTTCTGGTGATACATAGATGAACAAAAATGGGTTAATTTAAGATATAAGAGCTAGGCAGGAATATGCCTTAGCTGTAGGCCAAGTAGTGTTGCAATTAATATAGTTTCTGTGTGATTATTCGGGTCTGGGAGGCTGGGAAACCAATGCGCAGGCTCTGTTTACAGTCATTCAAGGCTGCCAGATGCCAGGAACTAAGCCCAGCTCTTCTCGAACCTCCTGGAGTCTCTCAGAGGAATTTATTAAAAAGCAATCACGTGTGGCCTCTAAACCTTTAAATTTAAATAATGATTCCAATTAGAAACGGGTGCAAGCTTCAATGTAACCTACAAGTAACCACTGGGCCAGTAGTCAATTATGTTAACTCTCAAGATAATCTTTGTATCGCAGAAAGTGACCTCCGTTCATGAAAACAAAACATATTTCAACCGAGTATTTCAGCACCATTATCGATTTTAGATCAATGTCCGCGGGACACAGCCGAGATTCTGCAGTTCCTAACTTCATGGTGGCATTTGACTTGCTGTCGAAACATCTGTAAGCAGGTTTATCTTATTCCTACGTGAAAACGGTTCAAGCACCAGATACGGGCCTAACTCAGAATCCCCCAAAGGTCTACATCAGCACTCGGTTCAGATGGGGGTAGTGCATGCAAGCGCAGACAGCTCAGCTTTCACGGACACTGCTCCTCATGCTACAAGAGTCGACAGAGAGGAACGGCTACCGGACTGAGGAGTCCGAGAAGCTGCCTCATGTCTAAAGTGGACAGAAAAGCAGTAAGGAAACCAGGAAACCCCTAATCACTAGGTCTAGGAGCTAATGCACAAGACAGTCAAAGTTGCTCCTGGAGTAGAACCAAGTATCTCACCCCTTGCTAGTGCCCCCCGTCTCCCGTTTTTGGGGCACAATGCCGTGAAACTGAGAGAAGAATGCTAAGACGTGTTCATTTTATTTTGAATAATTTATAACAATTTTATATATACCTTTTCGAGATCTTCAATTCTCTTTTCCAATGTGGTACCGGAGGCAAAGCTGCCCGCCATATTGGCATCTCTGCTGTGTCTGTTGAAGCCACCTCTGTCTGTTCGGGGATATCGGCTGGAGGCGTCATCTTCTGGAGCAGTGCTTGTGCTGCGGAAATAAAAGTGGGTGTTTTATATACATCCCTAGCACTCTAGACGAAAAAGAGCAAGGCGGTTTTCTCTTCAGTCTGAACAATTAGCACTCCCTGAGGACACGATGTATCTACAGCTGTAGAATCTAATCCTCATCCCAACACAATGAGGGTAAATGTATAACAGCACATGAATTCTTTGGGCCAATAACCAAGTGGCTGTCAGTGTCAGGGACTGTTCCAGGTGCTGAAGATGTCCATAGCAACCACAAACACGGGCTGTCCTTTCAAGAGGGAATATGGGAATATTGTACCAGGTACAGTACGGTAATGACCACCCACCACTCTAGCCAAGGCTAAACAAGGCTAAACCTGAACTGAACGAAACGGGTCTCTTAGAACACGTACAGTGAAAATTCACTTCTCCTTATCTTTTGTTTGTTTATTTTGTTTTTGGAGACAGGGCTAAGTGTAGCCCTGGCTGTCCTCGAACTTACAGAGATCCATCTACTTCATCTCCTCAGTGCTGGGATTAAAGGTGCAGCACACAATGACTACTACCTTACAGTTTGCGAGCTTCAGGCAAGGGGCCGGAGGTTGAAACACACAAAGGCTCACACAGAGACAGAGAGACATGGACCTCTAGTCACTGGTAAGAAGCCCTTTATTCAATAGCACCACAGAGGCTTATATACCCAACACAGTCAGGTGGGCCAACAGGTGAAAACGTTATCCTCTGATCCTCAAGGCCAAGGCTACACGTGCTCGTGAAGCAGAGCTGGTAAACAACTTTGACACAGCTTTCAGTAACTCAAATCAGAAGGAAAGTAAAGATCTCTAGCAGGGAAGAGCAGCTGGAGACCAGGACTCTAAATGGTCCCAACATAAAAGTGTACATCACCAATAATGCCTGGCTTACATTTTCTTTAAAAAGGCTTTTTATTTTCCAAAGTTCAATGTCTGGTTAAATTCCAAAACTTAAAATCGAAATATAATTGAAACAATAATAAAGAAAAGAACTGCCTAAAGTTGCGTATTTCCAGCTGAAAGTTTGTACACAGGCAACTTCTTATACGCTGGTAACTTATTATTCATACTGCAAACTTAGCCAGCACTCACTTAAATTAAATGCTTACAGCTGATTAACGGCATTGTCGCTATTTAAAGAATTCCATGTAACAAGCTTTCCTTTGCTCTACTGTTTCCTACTACATAAAAATTACTCCCAAAGTGAGTTCCAGGACGTCAGGGATACACAGAGAAACCCTATTTGAAAAACAAAACAAAAAAAAAACCCAAAATACAAAAACAAAAAAAACCCAAAAACATTGATTGAAAATCTACAGGCTTATGATTTTTAAAATTTTTGTTTCCAATCTTCCAGGGTAGCCACTTGAAATACTTGCCATCAGAGATCTTTTCAACCTATCCGATCTTAGGGGATCTGACAGTAATTTTCGAACACGCAATGCCACGGCAACTGCTGCCGTTGTCGATTATGCTAGCTTGGAAGCCCGCGAAGGCAAGCTATGGAAGCTTTGCCCTATAATTTCTACCTTTTCTTTCTTTCTTTGATCTTATCTGCCACTGACAAACATCTGACATTCCTTCCTTGCACAAAAGGTTAAGATAATTAAAAAAGAGAGAAGTGGGGAGTGGGGTTGTGCTGGGAGCCAAGTAAGTCTCCAGCGCATATTTATAAAGCTGGCGGCCAAACTGCATTCTTATCTTGCAAAAACAGCCAAAGTTCATCCTGAAGTTCAAATACTCCGGACTGAAATTTTCCCTTTGAAAGCCAATGTATAACCACTTAGCATACAAGAGTCGATTAGCTTGGATGATAAGATCAACCCCGAGCTAAAAGTTTTCAGGAGTCTCAGACTGAAAACATTATTGGTAATTCCCCAGTGCCTTTAAGTGGACTACCACAAATTCGGTCGGCGGAGTTCGGCTCACACAGCAAGGCTTTCTCAAAGGGGAAGGTACCGCTTCTGTTCTCACGCACGCACGCACGCACGCACTCAAGCACGCACGCGCCGGCGTCTTCTGGGTGTGGCCACTTTGTCATAATCACAGTGGGGGATTACAAACGCAAAGCAAAACTGCAAACTACGCGTAGCCCCCTTTTAAAATTCATGTATTTTACGCGAGTTGTGTCCATCAGCAATGAGGCTGAAAAATAACTTGTGCCAATAATCAACATGCCCATCACCTATGGAAGATGTCTTGAGAGCGAACGGTCTCAAACTGTCTTGATCCTAATAACACGCAACTTCCCATGGTTCCCTTAGCAACCTACGCACTTTGCAGACCTGACTAGTCTATACCCTACTCACTTATCGGCGTAGGCGATGAACGTACTCATATAGAGGTCAGAGGACAGGATGGAGTGTCATTCCTCAAGCATGGTCACATTTATTTACTTACTTTTTTTAAAAAAAAAAATTGAGATAGAATCTCTTTGTTTGCTCAGAGCTCACTAAATAGGTTTAGCAATCTTCAGGACCTACGTGCCTCTGTTTCCACAGTTCAGGCTGCCATGGCTGAATTTTTTAATGTAGGCTCTGGGAATCAAACTCAGGTCCTTGAACTTCAGGGCAGAACCATTCCTCCAGCCCTGTCATGTTTTAACACTGGCGACCTGAAGAAAGACTTGGTAAGAATCTCACGAAGTACAAACTAATGGTTATGATAACCCTGAACATGTGTTTATGATGAAGCCTAATGCATCCTATTAATTTATTTCGAGCCTATTTACGTCATGCATTCAAATACCGCATAAATTTAAGGCTTGCACTGTCTTCGTGAGCAATGAGCTATAGACTTAGCATTTCTCGATCGTCACAGCTGAAGTCTGAACTCAGCTTTACTGAGAAATGACACTTCCCAACCAAACCCGTGAAGACGCATCCTGTACCTCTCTGGAATGACTTCCAGGATCACTATTCAATCTTCCCTTACTGTCACAATCAGAAAAGGTGTGTCTGTTCTCATAAAAAAAAAAAAGTCCAGCAAAGCTTGCTTTGATGTTAGTAAATTAGAATCCCAGATAAATACAAATTTCCTAAGATTTAGGAAACCATTTTAAAAGGAGAAACTTAAAATAATGAAAATATATTTTCATTTATTTTTAGCAGTCAATTCTCCATTCAAATTGTTTCATTTCTGGAACTCAAATCTGACTAACATTAACACAGTTTCTAAGCACGACAAATGCTCGTACCTTCCTCAATTCTTACAGGGATTTTTAGTCACAAATGACTGATACAAAATGCCAGATGCTTCGACAGCCTCCAGACTAACAAGCAACTTCCTTGTACCAATCTATGCCCTATGCAAATACGACTACTCTAAACCCTAGGCCCAGATCTGAGCAGTGTACCCTAGGCCCAGATCTAAACAGTGTACCCTAAACCCAGATCTGAACAGTGTACCCTAGGCACAGATCTAAACAGTGTACCCTAGGCCCAGATCTGAACAGTGTACTCTAGGCACAGATTGAAAAAAACTAAAATTTGTTTTATTTATTTATGCTACAAATATTCATTCTTACAGGAAATGCCTATTTAAACCTTAAGAAACTACTGCATATGCTTTATTCTTCCTGAGGATCTAGTTTGATAAGGATTTAATAACCCATGATACAGAAATTCAAAGAATTGATCCATCTGCCTATTTGCCTTTAAAGGCTACCACAGAGATGCAGAATCTGGAAGGTGTCTAAGAAGTTTCCTTAAAACCTCCAAATCATTTTTAGTTCCTGAGCACAGGCATGACCTTGTGCGTCTTACCAGATGAACAGCCATGTGTCACGCATGCGCTTACGCATTTGGTCATGCTTCTCGTAAAGTTCCTAAGCCTGGATCATTAGCTAAACTAGATAATTTATAAACCCATTAAACAAACAGTCTAACTTCAATATTGTGCAACGGGGACAACATGGACAAAGAAACTCGCTTTCTGAACACCTTCAGGGTCGACCATTGGGCAAGGGGTTCAAGACAACAGGCCTATATAGCCATGAACAGGACTGGTGGTCAAATACCAATGGCTGCTTTTTTTTTTTCTCCTCTAGAGAAAAAGGTAAATAAAACCAAGAGAGGGGTGAACACCTGTAATGCAAGTTCCTTGAGGAGGCTGAGGGAGGAGGAGCTACTCGAGCCCTGAAGTTAAAGAACACCCTACACAATGAAACACCAACTCAAAGCAAAAATCAATCAATCAATCAATCAATTTATTGATAGTAAACGGAGATTGTAGTAATGAACACCTGCACAGGTACTCTTGTACACACACCCCCTTGGGAAAGCCACTCACTTATCTAAAGCTAACAGCAGCTGGGAATACAGTACAGCAGCAGGGCCCTGGCCTCACGTGTATGAGGGCCTAATTCAATGTCCAGCGCCAAAACAAATAAGGGCAACGGGAAGCCATTAAAGCAGGAACTGGAATAGAACCGCTTTGACAAAACACACTGCGAACCAGCAGGGACACCACAGCAGTTAGGTTAGGTACTATAATTCACGTAGGCTATGGGTGTAGAGCAACGAACAGCCCACAAGTAATCTTAATAAGGGCTACATTACCAGGTAAAGACAAGATAATGAAATAAAAAAAAAAAGAATAACGAAGTAGTTCTTGCAGGCCTGAGGCCCTGGGTTCACACAGTATCTGAGTCTCCAGCCTTAGTATTCTACTGTTGAATACACTGAGCTTAGCCTGCTTTCCAGGTATCTAACAGTGGCAGATTCCTTTTTGTAGCACATAAGACAAAACAGAAAGAAACCCAATTCTAAGAGAGTTGATTGCGACTCAAAGCAATAAATACAAAGAAGAAAGGACAAAGAAGGCTGAGACAGGAAGAAAGCCACGATAGGATGTATAATGGAGTCCTGTCGCAATACAGAAAAGCACTGAAACGTGCTAGGCGATGGTTCATACACTTTTTTTTAAACATTTTATTTATTTATTTATTTATTTATTTATTTATTTATTATGTATACAATATTCTGTCTGTGTGTATGTCTGCAGGCCAGAAGAGGGCACCAGACCTCATTACGGATGGTTGTGAGCCACTATGTGGTTGCTGGGAATTGAACTCAGAACCTTTGGAAGAGCAGGCAATGCTCTCAACCACTGAGCCATCTCTCCAGCCCCCTCATACACTTTTTTGTTTTTGTTTTTTTAGACAGGGTTTCTCTTGTACAGCTGTGGTTTGTCCTGTCCCTTTAAGAGACAAGCCCCGCCCACTCTCTCCCTCATCCACTGAGGCAGGTAGATCTTCCTTCCTGCTTGCAGCCTGAGTCTCTTCTTTTCTGTCTGTCTCCCTCTCTCTGTCTCTCTCTAAGAGGCAGCTTCTGTCTTTCCTTTCTCCCCACTTCTCTCCTTCCCCCTTCTGTTTCTCTCTCTCCTCTTCCCCCTCTCCCTTTCCCTTCATAACCCACTAAATAAATATACAACTTCACTCTGCATGGCGTGCCTATCCATGTCTCCGTCTCTCATTGGCTGTATGGCTGCCTGCCCAGGACCAGTGGCCTTTGGAGACCTGAGGGTGTGGTCTCATGGCCCACTACCCACTGCTGCCACTTGACCTGCAGCACTTTACTTAAACCCTAACAAGGACTATCACCATGCACTCCAGTTCTGAAACAGAAGAGTTTCCCAGCCCTCCCTGGCTCTGAATCTGTTCTGAAGAACTGCCTCATGTCTAGGCTTTAATTCACAGAACAAACACACTTGGGATCTCTCTCCATCCACTTAGAGTCCAAATCCCCATAGATCAGGTAGCCGCTGCCTGAAGAACAGAGCCACAGCTCTAGGGACAGAAGCCACTGCATCTCGTCCAACCTGCAAGCTTGCAAATGTTTGAACACACTTGCAGTGAAAGCTGCAAACTCAGGAACCTGGCTAGATCAGCTGCAGAGCTGTGAACCTACAACACAAGTCTATGCCACACCCTGTGCCTCAAGATTAGATAGCGCAGCTCCGGCAGGCTCACACCTAAAGCTCTATCTCTTTCAAACTCCTCCTACTTGGTGCTTCAACTGCAGCAGCGGCAGTCAGCACTCTTCTGAGACGTCTAATAGGTCTCTTATCAGCCTGTGAGCCCGTGCTAGTGGCTGACATCAGACGTCCCAGCATTACTGCCGATCCTATCGTGGGGCCCGAAAACATGGGGCACTGCAGGCTACACTGGCAGAGGGCTTGGTGCCATCCAGCACTTTCTTCTGCCAGGTCCTAGACGGACCCGTCTGCACTCAGTCACCTCCCAACTACCAATGCTCATCTTTGCACGTTTTCCCTTTTGCAAATGGCACCCCAGCCTCGCACCTGGACCGCTGCCACCCGGACTTGTCTTTCAGCAGGACCCGTGGTCCCACACTCCCGGTGCCCATGTCCACTACAAAGCTGAATAACTAACTGCTTCCACAAACACCTGCAGTTTAGCTGGGCCAGGCAATGATGAACATAACTGGAAAAAAAAATATCATGCGGAGGCCACGCTTCTATACTGATAACAACACCATAGCATCTATCTAAACGACCACTTCAATTCATGTAAAGGGAAAAGATTTCCCCTAGAAAACTACTACATAGGGGTTGGAGAGATGGTTCAGAGGTTAAGAGCACTGCCTGCTCTTCCAAAGGTCCTGACTTCAATTCCCAGCAACCACATGGTGGCTCACAACCATCTGTAATGAGGTCTGGTGCCCTCTTCTGGCCCGCAGGCATACACACAGGCAGAATATTGTATACATAATAAATAAATAAATATTTTTTAAAGACTACTACATAAAATTGAAAGAAGACAGCACAGTGCAGCGCAGTAGCTATAGAGACAACATAAGAGCCCAAGGGACATGAAAACACAAGGAAGCATACGTCCGATAGGAGAAAATAACTCTAGAACAGTTGTTCTAAATCAGTAGTCGCAATCCCTTTGGGTCAAACAATCCTTTCAAGGGGTTGTATATTAGATATCCTGCATATCAGATATTTGCATTATGATTCGTAAGAGTAGCAAATTAGAGTTATGAAGTAGCCACAAAAATAATTTAATGTCTGGGGGTCACCCCAACACAAGGAACTACATTAACCCAGCGCTAGGAAGGTTGAGACCCACTGCACATGAAAGAAATCTATGAAGTTCTTGGAAAGAAATTCAAAATAATGGTCCCAAGGAAACCGAATGAGATACAAGAGAATATAAGTAAATAATTCAACAGGCGAAGGCCACGGCCGTGCTATCAATGAGAAGTTTAACAGAGATAAGAATCATATAAAAGACGGCAGGCGTCTGTGTCTCCCCGAAACCGGCTGTCGTGATCTGCGCCCAGGGAGTCTACAAGGGCACTTCTGTGGTGCGCCATGCCTTTCTTTGATGTGCAGAAAAAGCTGGGCATTAGCCTCGATCGCCACTTTGTATTCCAAAGTGTTGAGCAGCCCTTCAAGATTCCCTCCCGATGTCATGCTTTCGAAAAAGAGTGGATAGAGTGTGCACATGGCATTGGTGCTACCCGGGCTAAAAATGAGTGCAAGATAGAATTTGAAGATCTCGAGGAATGTTATCTTTGGAATAAAACGATGAATTGCCTGGGTGAAATCAAACGACAGTGGGATAAGCTAAGTTAAAGAGGGGAAATACACTCCTCTGCCTCACCACATGGGCCAGGAGGAACCCAGGCCCTGAGCAGTGCAGGTGGACGCTGCTTTTCATGCTGTTTTCCACTGGGAGAAAGTCTGATGAAAACTTCATTGAGTACATAAAAATAAAGAATCATATAAAAAAGAAACCAGCAGCAACTGAGACGCTGAATCACTCAATCAATGAAAGGATTAGAAGACAAAGGGAAGACAGGCACGTGGGGAAAAAAAAGATGGGGATAGGATAAAAAAGGGTGGAAGAGATAGAGGAGGGCGAGGGAGGATGTAAGCAAAATGCTCTCCGTATGTGCATGAAGCTGTCGAAGAACTTCGACCAATACAAAAAAAAAAAAAAAAAACATGCAGCATAGGGACCTGAGAGTGACCCTGTGTCAGCACAATAAAGGGAGCAGACTGGCGTCACTCGTGGAGAAATGAAAGCCACAGTGGTGAGAGGCACAGGAGGCCAGGCACAAAGGTTGGTCTCTGAGACAGACAGGAAGGCAGTGGTCACTAGAGACCAGGAGGGAGAGGGGGGAAATGGAGGTTACGTGATGTATACAGACACATAGCTACATAGGAGGAATTTGCTCTGGTGTTCTAGATCACAGTAGGGGAATTTAGTCCACAGCAGTTTATGATATACTTTAGAAGAAATGGGACTACAGAAATTCCTAAAACAGGCAGATGATAAACATAAGGTATGGATATCCTAATTGCCCGAATTTGATCATTACACCACCATTCAGTAAATTATTACTGTACTCTGTAATCATGAACAAATAAACACCAACTAAAAAAAAAAAAAACCAACAAAACCAAGTGTTAGAATTTCACTTATTAGCTATAAGACCCCTGAATGTTAGGCCTGTCGATGCATAAATGAAACCCTATGTGTGTGTAAAAGCAAAGAAGAATTGCAAAAAATTTAAGTCAGCTCTTCAGCCCTCCACACATACTAGATTTGAAAGAAATGCGGCGATAATCATGACTGATAGTGTTACTTGATTATTATGTTGCCAAATTTAGCTGCTTATCCTAAAACAGAAATGTTTTCAACCTATTTTATGGGCCGGATATGCACAATGGAAAATATTCAGAATTAAAAAAAAATCTGCTTTATGAACCCCGAAAGGTTTGTGATGTTCTAGTTAGGAATGTTAATACAAACCGACGATCCAACGAGAACTGTCTACTCTTGGCTACAGAGATATTGACTAGGATGTTCAGTAAAGGGAAAGGAAAGCAGGATCATTGGAGATAAGCAACCCCCTTTACTGGAAGTTTTGCCCCTTCTGGGAATTTTCACATCTGTGGGAAGATGAGAGGGCGCTGCTGTGTTCAGGAAAAATAACACTGTTATTCTGAAGCCATCCTGAGAACGAGATTGGTAGCATTAAAGAGATTACAGTCCGAGGAATTTTCCACTAATACAGCCATTTGAAAGCCCAGCAATGGGATGAAATACAAGACTCATGGGTAAAACCTTATTAAACAATGGGTATCGAAGATTCAGAAGTGCTAGGCGGATCACGACCTTCTAAGTCCCCCGCTGAGCACACTGCACACAGCTGGGCTGTGCTCACCCAGACTCTCACCACCCTGCTGAACCCCACAACCTGCTGTCATCCTCCCCTTCCTTTAAGTGCAAGCACATCCAACTAAAACGCAAAGCCAACACCCAGACTCCATTAAAACCGCGACACATACTCACTGTAAGAAACAGGAAAGAGTTTAAAAAGGAATCGCTGTCCACTAAAGGGCCACAGACCTATCTCAAATTCCTGATTGACTTTCCGGACCTTTTTTTCTTTTTTTAATTCAAAGGTTTTTTTTCTGGTTTGTCTCTGTCCAGTTTCACTTAACCCCAGGCTCATGCGGCTCACGGGCTTAGAAGCAGGAGGCCACCTGTACATAGCCAACTAAGGATGCCACTAATGTCACCTTATGCCTACATCCTTCCTGTACTCGACGTATAAATTTAAGAATATTTGTTCAGGGGCTGCTTCCCAGCACCCACATGGTACTCACAGTCACTTAAGTACCAGTTCTGTGGGTCTCATGCCCCTCCTGACCTTTGCTGGTACCAGGGCAGACACAAAACAAAAGCTTTAAATCTTTCAGTGTTTCTTCAGAGTATCTCAAATCAAATACACTTACGTTATAGAAGTCTTTCCACATAAACAAAGGCAAAGATTTAAGTTTATTAAGCCATCTGCCCAGAGGTAAACCTCCCGGACTGCAACGTGTGCCCGTGAAATCTGGTGCACGGTTAAAAAAAAAAAAAATTTCAACACAAGCCGCATGAGAAAATGAAGCTAAGGACATAGTCTCAAAAAAACTACTTTCAGTGACATAGTAAATGGGGTGAGAGAGGGGGAGAAATGTTACCACAGTCTTAAATATGTCAAATAAAGGTGGTATTTTATGACAAAGAGGTGAAATACACTTATGGCTGGTGTCACAAGACTTCCACGTGGCTCGTGATTTCTTGTTTAGTTGTGAGGAAGAGGAGGGTGGGGAAGGAGGGGAAGGAGGGGCTGAAGCCAGGCTGGAAGTTACACCATCCACAGGAAAAGCGGGCTGCCGTTCGCACTGGGCTGGCTGACAGCTGTGGGCAGTACACACCTGGCTGTGTTTTGAACGTCCCTACGGAGCTGAAGGTGGGAGTCACTTTTTGTGCCCACCTCACACTCGTTCCAATTAAAACTACGTGCATAACACGTGAAATCTGAGAAAGGGTAAAGTCTGTCCCCTGATGCATCAGCCAGGACAAACTGCCTTCCCAAAGCAGGCATTACAACGGAACTGACTCTGAAGAGAATGCTTTGCTTAATAAAAAAAAGGCAACAGTAGGGGCTGGAGAGATGGCTCAGTGGTTAAGAGCATTGTGTGCTCTTCCAAAGGACCCGAGTTCGATTCCCAGCAACCACATAGTGGCTCACAACCATCTGTAATGAGGGTTGGTGTCCTCTTCTGGCCTACAGACATATATGCAAACAGAATAGTGTGTTAGTGTGTCCATAATAAATAAATAAATATTTTTTTAAAAAAAGGCAACAGTGGCTTCCCACAGCTGTAGGTTTTCTGGGTATCCCTATGCTGTGTATGTTAAAAAAGGCTAGGCGGTGGTGGCGCATACCTTCAATCCCAATTCTCGGGAGGCAGAGGCAGGCGGATCTCTGTGAGTTCAAGACCAGCCTGGTCTACAGAGCGAGTTCCAGGACAGGCTCCAAAGCTACAGAGAAACCTTGTCTAGAAAAAACCAAAGGCAGAGATGCTGCAGCTGAGAGTAGCCACAGTTCACATGACTGGAAACTAAGTTGCAGACACCCACACCCCACTTCAGGGCTGACGGGACACCGGATGACAGGATTAGGTTTTATCAATGCCAATTTTCTGTACTGGTCACATTCCCATTAAGAAGTCCACACTGCTTTTAAAAGGCAGAAAAGAGGTCTCCTTGGGCAAAAGCTTCTCATTGTACACACCTGGGAGCCAAGTTCCACCCCAGCATCCCAGAGAGGGGTGGGAGGAGGACTCCGGGAAGTTGCTCCCACTGTGATGATGCAGCCTCCTGGCTGCCTGGCTCTAACCCATGGAACCCAGAGACGTGGAAGGAGAGGCAACTCTCCAGAGATGCCCTCTGACCTTCCTAGGCTCGTGCTGGCACACGCACCCAGCCACAATCCTGTCACATATGCACAAAAACAAGAGCACATTAATTAATTAAAGTCTGAAACAGTCGCGTGTGAGGATCAGCACCTATATTCTCAGAAGCTGGAGAAAACCGGAAGAGAAGGAAAGTAATGATGTAATGATAAAGTTACGTTAACTACAGACGTGGTAGGTGAGGCTAGAGCACTGACTGCTCTTCCAGAGGTCCTGAGTTCAATTCCCAGCAACCACATGGTGGCCCACAGCCATCTGTAATGAGATCTGATGCCTTCTTCTGGCCAGCAAGCAGACAGACAGAACACTGTATACATAATAAATAAATAAATCTTTTTTAAAAAAATGATTGATTCCTGTTATCATACCTTAAAAAAAAAGAGAGAGAAAATGACTTAAGGAAAGGTCACTGAACTGAAGCCCTTTTCTCTACAGGTTAAGAAGCCCCCTGGGTGCTACCAGGCTGACTGGATAACAGTCATGCAGGGGCCTTACACACCAGTACACCTACTTATGTAACTTGCATAGGAAGAGTGTTAAGAATTATTTTTTAGCTGGGTGGTAGTGACACGCCCCTTTTATCCCAGCATGTGGGAGGCAAAAGCAGGAGAATCTCTGTGAGTCTGAGGCCAACCTGGTCTATAAAGGGAGTTCCAGGATAGCCACGCTATACAGAGATAGCCTGTCTCGAACCTCCCCACCCCCCGCCATCCTAAAAGAATTATTTACTAGTAAACAGCTAATACTGAACCAAACATGCTCTGAACACCCAGGGAGTCGCTACAACTGTGAAAGACGAAAGCTTTACTGCCTGTTGACTGAATTCCACGTTCAACTGCAAGCAGCCCGATACAACCTAGAAAGCCCCTTGCCAAGGCCTTAAGGACCTGCATTCTCCTCTCCAATTTAACAAGGCACTAGAAACCTAACCAAGTAAAGACTCTACTGACAGCATCGAACACTGGGAAAACGAAAACCCACAAAGGCCAGCCGTTGTCCCATCTTCCCCAAACTGAGTATCAGAAATGTCACCGTCTTCATCTCCACACATGAAGTTTAAAATGAAAAGCTAGCGGGCGTATACAGGACTTTCTAGATGAACAAACCGGAGTCTAGGTGTCGCATGGCCAGCCTGAAGCTTCATGGAGCTAAAAACCTGCATTCTCAACATTCGGAGGAGACAAGGGGCGTGCAAGCAGTGAGAGAGAAGAGCACACGGGGCCAGAGACTGGAAACCCCTAGAGACTTTCCCGCGTCAGCGCCGACTGTGCGTCCGTACAAGTCACTTGGTTTACAGAACAGACTGTCTAACGTGATGGCAGTGTTTTATCTCTCAGGCCATTGCTCACTTCTGTCATCCCCATTTGTCAGGAGACACCCTCGTTAGGAGACTCCCGTTCTCTGATCGCTGCTACAACTTGCTGACAGATTAGTGAGGTAATGACCTGCTGACAGACGATGACAGATAGTCCTGGGAGCTAAAGAATGGCTAATTTCAGATATATACTCTCAGCTCTACACTGCGCTTCTTAGACCATTATTAAAGTAGTCACTATACCTCAATGAAAAATTACTACAAATTTAAATTTCATTATTGACTCATTTAAGCAGGTTCTCACTAAAGAGCTCAGGCTGGCCTCAAACTCGCCATTCCCATCCTTTGGTTATTTAAAAGGATTCTTAGTAATGCTAAACAGGGCTAAACCTTTGAAAGCTGAAAAGTACAAATCACATACTTTAGGTCACAAAAATAATAATGTAGGCAGATGAACATGTCACACAGAAAATAATGGTTTCAAACCTTAAAAATACACACCACAAAAAACGATTTCTTACTAATTTAACACAATGATTTGATAACAGCATTGAAGAGGATGGTTTATTGTTGTTACTGTGTGTGTGTCTATCTGTGTGCATCTGCGTTATATGTGTCTCTGTGTGTCATTCTGTGTTGAGTTTGTGTTTGTGTATCCATGTTCTGTGTCTCTGTGTGTGCATCTGTGTTATTTGTGTGTTTGTGCATCTGTATTGTGTGTGTGTCTGTATCTGTGTGTGTGTGTGTGTGTGTGTGTGCATACATAAGTGCAGTACCCTGAGAGGCCACAAGAGGGTGACAGAGCTAGAGCTACCAGCAGTTGTGAGCCCCCTGATGTGGTGCTAGGAACTGAACTCTGATCCTTTGCAAAAGCAGTCCTTACTCTCAACTGTGGGCCATCTCTCCAGCACCGTGAAGAGAATTTATATGGGGGCGGGGGGAAATTAAGTATTCCCTCCCTCACTGAATCTGATTCAAGAACACAAATATAAAAGTGCCATTTATAATTTAAATTTTGATTAGAATTACATATTTATAACATAGTTGATACGTTATCTGATTTTATCTTTGTTTTCCAAACAAACAAAACAATGATGGTAATTTTTCTTTTTCTGAAAATATGTCTGTGAATGGTTCAGGTCAAAGCCACTTGGCCATGGTTTCTGGCAAAAGAAAATTTATTCTGTTTGGATTAACCTAGTCAAGGTAAATAAAAACTACTCAGCTCTATATTAAAGGAGCATGTTTCATTATAGGCACATGCAGACACGAAAATAAAAGCAACAGCAAACACTGAATGCTTCCCGTGGGTCACGGATGTTGGGGCGGGCTGATTCAACTCCTGCCACACCGGCCTCTTGTCCCTCCCCTTCTCACAGATCGCACCAAAGGTAAAAACACAATCACATTTTACTTTGCTTGCTTGGTAATAAAACTGAGTTCTTATTAGCAAACGTCTTACCCTTGAACATACGAACAGACAAAAGCAAAGGTTTTACATGTGTAAGCCTCGACAGATGATCTTTTGTATTTAATAAGTGTATAAGTTGGAGTGAGACCACCTGACCTCAAATCGGATATATGCTATCAGCTTGGCTTGTATTCTGAGGAACGTCTTCTACTTTATAGACCCCCCTTCCTTTATCTATAAAATGCCAGCAGATATTGTATCTACCACATAAGCCAACTATGAGAGCCACACGAGAATCTTAATATCTCACCAAAACCCTTATCTAATTAGAGCACACTCTGCAGCCTTTGTGGTCCCCACAGGGAAGAAGGTGACGGGATACAGGGCCTCCAACAGGCACAGAAGCCCTGACTGCTCATGTGACAGCTGCGGAGAGGACGCCTCTGGGGAATAATTAGGGTCATGGGGTCATGGGGGTGGACACCTCCACAGTGTAGTCAGTGCCCATATAAGGACAGGGAATTTGACTCCAGCACAGGAAGAAGACCAAGAGCAAACCATTCCCCAGCAAATACCACTGCCACCAAGGCCATTGTCACCGCTGCCGCCACCACCGCCGCGCCAGCAGGCTCCCCGGTTTTCTTGTTTAAGCCAATGAATTTATGGCATTATGACGTTGCACGTGGTCTCTTTGTTATGTCAGTGTGTAACTGCACGAAGGAAAACCAATTCTAAGTTTCTATGTCAATCGCATGAAGATTCACAGGCTTTCCAAGGCTCTGGGATAGGTCAGAAACAAGCCGGGGCTGACCGAGGCTAGACTTTTGTCTACAAGGGAATTTCTTTTTAAAAAACACAATATCCAGGTTTTGGTTTTTTGCTTTTGAAGACAGTGACTCAAAGCAGTTCTCGTGAGTCGAGTCAGCATCCAGACAGGCAGTAGCCTCAAGCCTGTAAGATACAAAGTCAAGACTCTTACCTCTTGTATCTGCCTGGAACTGTTCTTGACGGGTCCTGCAAAGGAAAAGAGGAGAAGTCAGAGCTGTCAGGACCCAATGACAGATCGCGAAACAACAGAGGAGCAGCTGCGGGAGAACGGTGTCGAGCTTGTGCTTAGGAACGCGCCACACCGCTGATCAAACAGAAAGAACCTGAATCTAGCTTTTCAGCCCAAGACAACCATGTTTTAAATACGGAAAGATTTTGGGTGTGAGCCTAGCCTTTAAGGGCTAAGCCATCTCTCCAGCCCAAAATACCTTTAAAAAAATATGGGGTATAGCATGAGTAATCAAAAAAAATTGTTAAACTTTTCTCTTCCTCCCTCCCCTCCCCTCCCCTCCCCTCCCATCCCTCCTTTCTTCCTTCCTTCCTTCCTTCCTTCCTTTCTTTTGAAGGGTTTCACACAGACAAGGCTGGCCTGGAACTAACTAAGGGCTGAGGATAGACCTAAACATCTCATCTCCCTGCCTCCACCTCTGAGTGTTGGGATCATAAATGTTCGCCATTATACCCAGACTATGGCAGGGGAAATCAATCCCCGGGATTCAAGCATGCTAAGATTAACCTTAACCCTTAGGTGCTTCTCCAACCTGACAATTGTTATTGTCTTAATACCATTTCCCTGTCTTTTATTATGCTCTCATTTTAAAATACAAAACAAGAGCAAAAATGGAGTCACTCTGGTGACGCATGCCCATAATCCCAGCACTCAGAAGGCAGAGTCAGGAGGATCTCTGTGAGTTCAAGGCCTACAGATCGAGTTCTAGGACATCCAGAACCACATGGAAAGACCCTGTTTCAAAAAAACAAGCAAACAAAAACAACAACAAACAACAAAACCAAACAAGCAAATGGGGCAGGAGAGGTGGCTCAGTCCTCAGAGCACTGCCTGCTCCTGTAGGACTACAGTCCAAATCCCAGCTCCCAGCCGCAGTTCAGAACCCCCTATGTAATCCCAGCTCCTGGGCATCCTCTTCTGACCTTTGTTGGCAGTTGTACTTACACAGATATACACATACACATAAATAAATAATAAAACTTAAAAGGACCTAAAACTCACCAGAGAGACAGAGACAGAGAAACGAGAGAGAGATTAACTTTTTAAAAGTATAGCTAAAGGTAAAAAGTGAGAAAAGCACATATTACTGCGATGATGCTAAGCTCCAAAAATAAAAAAGAGGAGACAGACAGACTGCTGAAGGTTAACATTAACTTGGGTGGGACATTCCTGTGCAAATCAGTAGGCAGAAATGGTGATAAGTCTGGGCTCCTCTCATCCTTTTTCAGTTTCTTCTTAATAAAACATGTCAAATTTAAGTGTGAGCCCCTTTTCAAACTGACAACAGTGTTACGGCTAAGGGAGATTATATAATTAAATAATTTCTGGTCTGGTTAACGTGAAAGAATAAGCTCGCTTTATGAGCTGACCAGTTCCACAGCGAAATCCTAACTGACTGCCATTAACTCCACGCGTAATAGCAATCCTGGCCGCAGTCCCCGGCTAACCGGTCAGGAGGAAGAGCTAAGCCACCTTCCAACCAGACATACCGCTCCGCAGGCAGCTGAGACCATGGGCTCGGGTTTCTCCCAGTGCCCCAAGAGGAAGCAGCAATACCCATTGTATTGTGGGATTACTCGGTGTAAGAGAGCGGTGCAATTGGCACAACAGGGTTGCAGTGCCAAGTTGGTAAAGATTCAGAACGCTCAGTGGGGTATAAAAATCCTTATCAACTTTCCCCATATATGTTAACTGCTCCCAATAAATTCTCACTAAAACAGTGCAAACCACTAAAAGATACCCTTTATCTTGATGGTTCGATGTTTCATTTTTCTTCCTTATTTCTTAAGTAAACTATGAGCTTCTGGAAGCTTGTCCCTGCCCCACATCTAGAAGTCAGTTTAGGCAGTCTGATATCACAGGAAAGAAAAATAAAGCCAACAAAACCAACAAAACCCCAAGCACTGGGAAGTTTATCAGTCCAGGGGTACAAAAAAATTTAACCGACAGGATCCTGGAGTGTCTGGGTGGGACTGATCCCCATGAACAGAACTCAGACTACTTCCGGGGACGCCTCCTGTGATGCCCACTGAGAAGCCATCTTCACTAGCCGCCTGGCTATCAGCTGGCCTTAATGCAGAGAGAGCAACAAAACCTTGGCCAGATGTTTGCGACATTTCTTCCCCGTCTGTCATTAGAGCAACATCCCCTAAAATGAGGAAGGACCGTCTTTTGCTTTAATGTGGTGACTAAGTAAAACAGATTCTCTGTTTCTAAAAGCTAGTATCTCCAGAGAATAACAAGAAAGAACAGATACATAAACTCTAGCTCCCTGTGCAAGCGCACCATGCTTCTTTTATAAGGGGGACAGTCCGCTGTTCCTCCACGTAAGAATGGACTTCTACACAAATATAAACTCGACCCTAGACCTGGTAGTTGGAAATTTCATTCCCATGACCACACGCAATTCCCGAGCGGAGGAGCTAACTAACTTTATAATTACCAGGGCGCTTCGTCAATAACTATAGTAATTACTGCTAAACTCGACAAGTCCACTCTGTGTGTGAACTAATCTCCCGGGGCTTGCGTTCCCCTGATGTCATTTCATGTATGCGCCCCACCTGTTTCCACACCACGGGCCCTCAACCGCTTCGGCACCTGTGAGGACCGTGTGCCTGAGGTGCCCTTATTGACTGCTCGATGTTCCGGCGAAAGCCAGGGTTTGATTCAAACTTAGGCAAAACAGTTGGCGCTTTTCCAACATTCTCGCAGCCCTGCACCGGTATTCCCCAGCCCTTTAGCAGGATAAACGACACCCTTGCAAGGAAGATTATGTCAGGAAAAGGAGACTTGAAATCGGTTGTGTGACAGACCTGGGGTTTGTCACAGGATCTCATTACAGGGTCCCTGGAGCTTCCGAAATGAGAATCAAGTTCAACTGTTCTTTCTACAAGCAGTTTGGGTGCAGGAAACTTTCCTTGCTTCTTCTTCTTTTTTAATTTTTTTTTTTAACCGACTTGAGTTTCCTATAAGTAAACATGACACAACCCAAATTGTTGGTTTATGTCATCAATTCATCTCGAAAAACCAAAAAAAAAAAAAAATCTTCTAACAGGCTAAGGATGGGAAAGATCGGGAAGCCAACGGAGCGCTTTTCAGACTGAGGGACAATCACAGAGAGTGACAGGAACATGTGATGCTGAGCTGCATTCCTCTGCTCTGCCTTGGGACACGACTGGGGCCACTGGAAAGCTTTAATGAGGCCTGGGTGTGAGTGAAGCGATGTGGTCACTCAGTAAGCTTTGTTGTCGGGAAAACAAAGTATTCAGGGAGCAGTGTTAGAAGGAAAATGTTTTCTGTATGACCTTGTGATTTTGCAGCAAGCAAGCTGAGACTGTTCTGGAGTAAGAATTACTAATGCCTACTCAGGGAAACACCACTGAGGACAAACAGGCAAATATCTCTCTCTTTCTCTCTCTTTCTCTCTCTCTCTCTCTCTCTCTCTCTCTCTCTTTCTCTCTCTCTCTCTCTGTCTCTCTCTGTCTCTCTCTCTTTTGAGACAGGGTTTTTCTGTCTAACAGCCCCAGTTGTCCTGGAACTAGCTCTTTGTAGGACCTGGCTGGCCTTGGACTCACAGAGATAAGCCGGCCTCTGCCTCCCGAGTGCTGGGATTAAAGGCATGTGCTACCACCATCTACTTCATAAAGGTTGAAGAGAGGACACGCCCCCCCCCTTTTGGACTAGGAACCATATTGCATAACGCCATCCGATTATGTATCACCAATAGATTGATCCTTTGATGAAGTCAAAGTCATAACTGAACACTGCTTATGGGACAAAATCTTTAGCATACATGCCCTTTTTTTGAAGAACACTTTGCATCCAAAAAGAGATGGATGGATGGATGGATGGATGATGGACAGATGGATGGACAGACAGAGGTAGCTTCCTTTGTAGGATAGTTCTGAAGTTATATGTAGAAAAGAAATACTAGTAGCTACCAGGAAGGCAGCCAGGTAGTTGACAGCTTCTAATCACACAGTTATACCTTTTGAATTTTGTGTCACATGATAATACTCCTTCAAAAAATTAAGAGTAAGATTCAGTAACTCATAGAAAATAGCAAACATAAAGGAACTTAACCACACCATGCACCATTTCTTTCTATGTTTTATTATTTTCTAAATTTAACTTACTCAGAGAGCATTTAAAAAGCCGGCTTGACCACGTTTAAAAGCTGTAGGAAGCCATAGCTAAAAATAAGAAAGTGTTTGATTCTTCACATTCTATTACCATTGTCGGTATTACATTAGAAATTTAAACCAGAAATAAACTATCCTAACCACTCACAAAGCATGCTGTCAAGCTGCTATGGAATTCCCCTCTGTATGCTGTGAATACCATTGGTTAATAAAAAAACTGACTTGGCCTGATAGGGTAGAAGGGGAAAACTAAACTGAATGCTGGGAGAACAAGGCAGAGTCTGGAAGAAGCCATGGATCCACCGCCAGAGACAGATATGTTGAAACCTTGCTGGTAGGCCACGAGCCTCAAACTAAAATATAAAATAATGGAAACGGGTTAATTCTAGATGTAAGAGCTAGCTAGCAATACGCTTTAAGTAATTGGCCAAGCCGTGATTTAATTAGTAAACCAATAAGCAGCCTTCCTACAATATCAAGCCAAACTCCTATTGGCATTTGTTGTCTTCATTTCTAAAGACCTATCTCCAAGGGCCTGGAGAGATGGCTCAGAGGTTAAGAGCATTGCCTGCTCTTCCAAAGGTCCTGAGTTCAATTCCCAGCAACCACATGGTGGCTCACAACCATCTGTAATGGAGTCTGGTGCCCTCTTCTGGCCTGAAGGCATACACACAGACAGAGTATTGTATACATAATAAATAAATAAATAAATAAATAAATAAATAAATAAATAAATAAGACCTATCTCCTTGAGTGGCTCAGAGCTGTAGACAATGCCAAGATGTAGCCTTTCTCTCTGTCCTATTAAAATAAAACAAACAACGATGCCAAGACTGTTCTCATCTCCCTCCTTCCTCCCCACACCAACCCTCTAGATGTTGGTGTTGTAAATGCTAATCCTTTAGGAGCAACAGGGACCTGCAAATGCAGACTGATACTCAATGAGACGTCAATGATGTAGACGGGGCATTTCCCATTCCCGCTGCCATTTCTGATGAGGCAATTAGGGAGGCCCACGGAGAAGCCTTAGCTTCACTCTTGATGGAGGAAGGTCATTGGTTACTAATAAAACAAACAAACAGACAGAGATTGAAAAATGAAGAGCAGGCCTGGGAAGAGCTCAGAGTTAAAGAAAGACAGATGCATAAGGGCAGCAAACTCTTGAGGGCCAGCTCGGCTGAGCTGGAAGTCCATGCTAGCATGTATGCACACCCTGGAAATAACCAGCCTGCAGCCGACAGAGCCTTTTTCTATTGAAAGAAATCAGCCCCATGTCTGCAGACACTGCCTGATATTATGTTAGCATGCCTTTGCTCTTCAAGTGTCCAGAGTAAGGAGATGGGCAAGAACTGAACCCAGGTCTAGACTTTCAATGACAACGGTGTATTTTCTCCACCACAGTAAGTTAACCCTTCATCATGTGGAGGTCATCACCAAAATAGGACCAGGTTGAATTTCAGTTTTGCTAAACAAAGTCCAAAAGTATCTTAGATTATGCCCAATTGAGAGAAGTAGTGTGTTTCGCTTTAAGAAAGGGCACTGATTTCCATAGAGCCACGATGATTATTACAGAAAGTGGCAGCAACTTGGGGGGGGGGATGAGGGGCAAAGAGGAACCCCCGTCACTCTATGAGTCTCTGTGTCAGTAACTTTAGCCTTAGGGAAGAAAGAGAAGCTTGTACCTGTAGTTCCCAACCATTTCTAAATAGTCATCCCGCTCTGTCAAATGTCTTCATAACAATGAAAAATAGCAAACAGGTATGTCTCTAATCTTTCCATCACTTAAGCCCAGAAAGGCGTGCGGTCCTACAAAATGCCTTTTAAAGTCGTATGTTAATAAAATAAATTTAGAAAATGAAGACTAGGGGCTGGAGATGTAGCTGACTTGGAAGATGACTTTGCCTACCAAGCATAAAGGGTTCATAGACCACACCTGAAATCTGAGGTCAGAGAAGGGAGACCGAGGTTCAAGGTCATCCTTGCAATTAAGGTTGCGATTAGCAGCCTCAAGATATTGAAGTTTCCAGAGAGAAGAGGGAGAAGGGAAAGGAAGGGGAGGGGACAAAAGAGGAGAGGAGGGGAGGGAAGAGCAGACTGGAACTCTGAAAACACGTAATGTCCTTGGGATGCAAACTGCTTGACAGCAGCCCTGGGAAGGCAGAGACAGGAGGATCACTGGGAATACACAGCAAGTTCAAGACCAGACTAGGTCATCTTCTTTTTTTTAAAGAAAGAAAAGCTGGGGTGTGTGGCTCATGTTTATAATCCCAGGTGTAGGGAGGCAGAGACAGGCGGATCTTTAAGGGTGACTCACTAGCCAGTCTCGTCTACGTGGCAAGTACCAGGACACTGAAAGTCCCTGTCTCAAAAAGAAGCAGAGAGTATCTGGAGAATGACATCTGGGGTGAGTTATACTTCTGCCCTGTGCATGTATACACAGATATGGAGAGAGAAATAGGAGGAGAGAGAGAGAGAGAGAGAGAGAGAGAGAGAGAGAGAGAGCGCACGCAAAGAGAGGGAGGAGGAGGAGGAAAAGGTGGGGAAAGAGAGGGAGTGGAAGGGTAGGCAGGCAGACTTAAAACGTCACATAAATGAACAAAACCAGGATGAATTACACCAATAACATTTCAAAACACACTTGACATAACTGATTCTAGAGATGAGAGACAGACACAACAGGGCAGTGGATTCTGGGTCCCGAGACGCACCCAAAAACTATTTTACAGGGTGATTTGTTTCATCGTCAGAGTAAACAACTAAAGAGAAACTGAAATAGGTTTTTTTACCTAATGTATTTTAAACTGTACAGAAATGCAAGTGTTTCTGGGAACTCTTAACATGACACTATCCACACAGTACTGCCTTCTGCATAACACTGCATCATGTCTACACAGTTGACTGGGGAAGCCAGGTCACATTTTTTCTTCAATGCAGTAGGATCCAAAAGTCAGCCTAGCGCCAAACAACGATCAAGTCAGTAAGTCTGGACAGAAGAGAGATCGGTGGTTAAACCCACAGGAAATGCTGTAGTCAGACTGATGCTACCAAAATGGGACTGGAAAAATTATTAAGAGTAGTTTAAATATGGTTGTTCAAATAAACAGCAGCTTCCTGGTCATTTTAAATGCTCACCTGGGACAGGTAGGAAGTGCCTGGATCTAAGAGGCTCGCAGCTTCGTTCTGAATGGTGTTCTGCTGTGTGATGGCGTCTTCTCGTTTCCGCTCTTTCTGGCCGGCTTCGTCGTCTTCGTACTCATCTAAGCACTGAGAGAAAGAACAGTCTCAATTTCATGGCCCATGTAAGTAGCAGAATGCCTTCCAGTATTTAAAAGCACAATGACTAGCATTAAAAAAAATACATATGTGTATGAAGCTGAATGGTGATGGTGCAGGCCTTTAGTCCTAGCACTCAGAGGCAGAGGCAGGCAGATTCTGAGTTTGAGGCCAGCCTGGTCTCCAGAGTGAGTTCCAGAACAGCCAGGACTACACAGAGAAATCCTGTCTTGAAAAACAAAAACCAAACAAGCAAGCAAAACAAAAGGAAATCTGTATGTAGTCACAAATTACGTTCATACGAAAGAGATTTCTTTTTAGCAATTCCTATAAATTAAATTGTCTCCTAAATTCCAACGTATTTATAGTCTCACCCATGGCAACATAAAGCTCTAAATACCAGTGACAAGTTTCTCAAAGAGATGGCTCGTCCATTCTCTACCATTCATTCAACATGACACTCAGCAGAGGGTAACACTATAAGCATGGAATTTATAGTTCAGTAAGGAAGGCGTGCGTGCGTGCGTGCATGTGTGTGTGTGTGTATTAGCGATAAGGTCATTTTCTACCTTCACACTGCCTATAGGGACATAAAGAAAGAGTATTTTCATGTGGGAGCCAAGGCTCTGGAACAACTAGCAATTTCAAGGGTAGTGTAATTTGGAAGTACACATCTGGACAAAGGGGAATTCAGAGGATGAGAGCAGCGCACTGAAGAGGCTGACTAGAGGGTTACTAAGAGCTGAGTCAACAGCAGCGATTATCTCTCTCCAAACCTGCCACCAGGAAACCAACCTGAGACAAATCCCTACCCATTATGCTATTACAGCATTGGCTATGAGCTGCTCAGGGCACACATCGAACCCAAACGCTAACCCACGTAGCTTCTCTCTGAGATCCAAAAAATTATGTCTATAGGCATTGCCCATAAAGGCATTAGGACACTGACCAAAACCCAGGAAGGCAGGAGACACCAGGATCTACCTGCAGGATCAGAACAGGCCACTGTGCTAACGAAGAAAAGCGACTAGGGGCCGGGGCGAGAGAACGTGGTGAAGAGGAAGGAGCTGCTAGCTTGTCAAGGGCAATTCAAAGACCAAGTGGACTGGGGATAAGGAAAAGTACGATTCTGTGCTACTCTTACTGCTGTTAGTCTGCCTCTTGACTCCAAGCCAGGAGTCTGCTAGACTCTGCTAGAACCCACAGGTTAGCGTGCAAGCTCTTGAGGCAAGAACTGGAAAGGCGTATTCTTCTCATCTCCAAGAAACACAATAAATAATCTGAGAAGTTCAGAAAGCTGTTATAGGACTTGGAACATCAATACATGGCCAAACAGGCGTGGGGTGTGTGTGTGTGTGTGTGTGTGTGTGTGTGTGTAAAGACTTTCTTAAACCAACAGAGACTATCAGAGCTAATGACAAAATACCAACAACATTCAAGAGTAAAATCAGAGAGTGATGTCATCTACCATGTTCTGGAAGAGCACTGGGTAACAAAACAGCTCAGATGACTATAGGATTCACTCGAGGGTCGGGAAGGAAGCAACTATCACCATTTTATATGATTTATTTATGTATTATTAAAGTTCCCAAAGACTTCTTTTTGATAAACATGAGGAATAATACCTGCCCAACACAACACCAATACACACTGAAACAATACCAACACTTCAGTGCATGGAGGAAGCTAACAAGCAAGAGTAAAAGATTCAGGCTGGTGACATAGCTCAGCTATTCTTTCAGAGGACCCAGGTTCGATTCCCAGCCCCCACATGGCAGCTCACAACTGTCTGTAGGTGCAGTTCCAGGGGACCTGGCATCCTCACACAGACATGTATGTAGGCAAAACACCAATGCACATAAAATAAGAATAAATAAAGTATTTAAAAGAAACAGTAAAAGATTCAGGGAGAAGGCCAGGCATGGTGGGGCATGCACTCAGGACCCACATTCGGGAGGCAGAGGCAGGTGGATCTCTGTGAGTTTGAAACCAGCCCGGTCTGCAGAGCGAGTTCCAGGAATAAGTAATCCCATCTGTGGTCTTCCGCTCTGTTAGCAATGACAGCAAAAGCTCCCAAGCTTATTATTGGGAGCTCAAAGTCAGAATTCTAAATCACAGGTGTGTACAGGTAAAAAGCCAAAGTTGAGGCAGGTGGCCATGGCCTCTCTGAACACTGGGTGTTCATTTGTTCATGCTTATTTTCTGAGACTCGGCGCCTTCCCCCTTCCTCTGCTGCCCCCTTAATAACTGCAGACCGCCCCACCGCTATCAAATTATAATCTAGAGTGAAGCATCCAGTACGTGCTTAATAATGAATCACCAGGGCGAGTCACACCGCGAAGCCAAAGCTACCCCATCAGACCTCTGCACATCTTTCCACAGAGCATCCTTTTCCCTGCTGCCGGGCACCTAGTCCTCCACACTTGGCATCTCCGTAGGAGACTGCACCCCCACCTTGCAGGCAGCTTTCAAAAGGGATTGATTATGTGATTCTTTACAAACTCTTTAGAACCGGTTGGCAACCAGTCCAGATCTGTTGTCTACAGATATTCTAAAAATCTTTAAGCTGTTCTATTTACTTGAGACAAAGATCTGAAAAACGGAAATCTTAATTGGGCCTGGGAGGATGTTCGGTGGGCAAGAGTGCACGCTATTTAAGTGGTGGGGGCTTGAGTTCAAGTCTCCAGCACCCATCTACAAAGTCAGCTATAGTCATATGAGCACCGGTAGCCCCAGCATTGTGAGGGGTCGGAGACATGAGGGGTGCTGGGGCTCGCTGGCTGCCAGCCTAGCTTTGGGGTCAGCGAGGAACATTGTCTCAAGGGAATACAGTGGAGAAGGGCAGAGGTGACCCATGTGAGGTCCTCTTCTGGGCCACTGTGCACACCCACACACCGCCGTGTACATGAATATAAACAAAACTTCACTCTTTTCCAGTTTTAAACCAACCTTCTCGACCACCGACATCTCACCATTCCATGCCAAATAAATACTTCAGCCCCGTTCACTGTCCTGTTACCAGATCTCAGGGCTAAAGTCCTGAAAGCCACCCAAACAGCAATATCCAATCATAAGAACGCTCTATCGCGCGTTTGAACAAAAATAATAACCTTGAGTTGGGTAGCTTTTAAACAACAAGGTGACACCTCCCCTAATAACTTAGTCAATCAGCCCACACTATAAAAACCCTTGAACACCAGAGATGAGAAAGAAAATAAAAACTTCCTGCGCTTCCACTGCGGTTCACGTGGTGCAAGTCTTCCCACAGAGTCCTCTCGAGGCAGGCGAGGGGAGCCCCGCTTGGCAATGTGCTAACATGGTCTCATCATGTGCAGCACAGAGCCTAACCAGTGCACTGCACAGACTGTGACTCCAGACAATTTGTCCACTCCTGTCTGTCTGTGTAGCTAAATAGCCCCTCCTCTCAATATTTGGATGTATCTGCAAGTTCCATAGCTCTTTAAATATGGCACCAATTTCCATCCCAAGAAATCTTACAGAAGGTTACCTGACAGGGAGATGATGATGACCATGACGTTGACCACAGCTACTATTTTACCTTCTCTAAACACTTTAGGGAAATAATGGTCTCAATGAACCTCACTTAGCAGGGTAAAGTTTTATCACAATTTTATTTGCTTTAGGAAATCTCTTTATATATCTTGATTTTCTTAGCCAATATCCTCTCGACTATTACTCATATTCTGGCATCTAAGAGGCTCCCTGTATGATGTGAAGATACCATTGCGTTGTTAACTTGTCATTTTCTCCTATGGTTTTTATGCCACAGTTTCCAACTTAAAGATCCAATCAGCCACGCGTTTCCTAATTTCTGCTACCACATTAATGAAATTAAATTTATTATATAACGATCTTGGAATATATTGGTTTCCCCCCCAATAATAACTGTTCTGTCATGAACAATCCAAAGCTGTGGTACTGGTGGGAGGTTGTGGGAGCAATGGTGCCCACAAAAGCCCAGCATGCCTCAAGTTCACCCAAAGGATCTCCGTTCATCTCTTTACCCTCAACTCAAAATGGTACCGCCAAGTGGGGTGCAGTGACACACACCTTTAATCCCAGCACCTGGGAGCCAGAGGCAGGTGGGTCTCTGTAAGTGCAAGGCCCTCCTGGTCTACACAGGGAGTTCTAGGACAGTCAGAGCTACATAGTGAGACCCTGTCTCGAAGGCAAAAAAAATATCCATCTTTATCACGTATTTTTACACGAGTATATTTTTCCCTTTCTATTCAGTCTCACTGGTCTCTCTACAGTCATGTACAGGGGACACTGCTTTCACCATTGTGGGTTAACAACATCTACGAGCACCTGCCAGTTCCACTCTTTATGCCTCACCGCTAAATCTTCCTCGTCGCTAGCCAACTTCTTTTTCCCATCTGAGTTCCTTGGTATCTTTCAGTTAACGAATCAATTACTCAGAGAAAATCTGGGGCAATCCTCCTTAGGGTGTAACCTTGTAAAATGGGGACCGTCAGCAGCTACAAAAGGGGGTTGTGGTTATACGGGTTAGCGGTGAATTGAAAGTAAGAAGATCAAAGATCACATGGGTCCTGGGTAGACTGAGAGCAAACACAGATGCTCACTGGACAGAGGAGAGAAACATGGAGAAACACAGTAACGAGAGAGACAACGCCTACTCTCACTAATGTTAAAAGTTCAACAACAGGGGAACGAGGACCATGGTTGAGAACTTGCAATACTGGTGGAACACAAGGTAAGTAAGCAGAGACCCGAAGGACATAGGGCAGATGAAATGCCTTGGACGAAAGCTCTCAAGAAGAATCCAGATTGACCCGGACAATACAGCCCTGGCTGTAGTCTCCACTGTTTGCAATGACCACACCCTTCTGTGACGTGCAGAAAAAAGAATAAGGAGAACAAACATACACAGGAAGCTTAGGATAAATCCTAGAAGAAACATGAAAAAAAAAAACTAAATGAAAACACGGAGGAATTTCCAAACAAGTCCC